AAAATTGTGTGTTATGTATGTAATATACGTATAAATATGAACCGTATATTTCGGCGTATAAAAAATTGAAATTTACGGGTGCGCGTTACACGTCGGATATAAAAACGATGGATCTAAAAATACCGTATATTCCGGCGTATAACGCGCACTTCTAATACAAAAAATGAGATCGGAATTTACGGGGGCGCGTTATACGACGTATATAAAAATGATATATTTAAAAATAAGGAAAAAAACATCATACTAACTTAAAAATTTTCATTATCGGATAATTCTTCATTATCAGATAATTTTCTTTACGTTAAGCGTATGAATTATTGTGCTTTCATTCATTTAGAGCAAACATCTGACTCCTAATTCCGCGATCGAGTCGGAAGTGCATTCTTACACCAAATTATGTTTATGTTCCTATTATCTCGAAACCCTAGAATAACATTCTTTTGCGCACCTGCATTGAATACAGCCCACTTTCTTTGCAGAATTGTTTATTCTCTCAAGCACCCCCCTCCCACATACACACACACACATATATCGCTTGCCGGTTCAGTATACCATTGTTCAAAATCCTGAAGGAAAAAATCTTCGAATGAATGACTTCAAAAAAGAAGATCATCGCACATGTATCTTTCCTGTTTCTTCGTAAAGAAAAGGGTGCGCGTTATACTCCGAAATAGACGATAATAATAACTTCACAATGTTTTTACCTCGTAGACAGAATGATGACACCTGCAGACACGTCGATTCAACACATTTATTTCAGGTTAAAGCAGTTCTGGAACCACAATATCTGATTAACACATCATTATGCACTGCACCCATAATTTAGCACATTGTTTGACAATAGACGTAGCGTATATGACATATGCTTTAGCGTACCATATATTACATAATTATAGACACAATGTAACAAATACCTTTCGCTCGTTAGTCATGCTACAAACACTTGTAAAAATTATGCCGCCCGCATGGTATATTTAGGAGAGCCTACTGTTGTACCGAAGTGACAGGGTTCGAATCCCGGAGAAGGCATGAAAGTTTGTAAATGTATAGTGTCTTTGCGGCATGGGAGCACTCTACTTATCTGGCGAGCCGAATTCGTGTGGTTTGGTGGAAGGGAAGAGAAGTGGGAGACCCCCCCCGGGGTCCTTTCTCTCAAAATTGGAGTGGAAGTAGAAGTCTAACCTCCTTGAGGTTCTGGCTACCATTCTTCCATGAAATTCATAGACAAGACAACAACAGCAACACATTTGAAAGGACACGCATGACAGATACGTTGACGACTATCACTTCCAGTCTCAGCACTTCTTCCCAAGAGGGAGTGAGTGGATAAATACGAAAATGAGTGGATAAATTTTGTGAAAAAGTGAGTGGATAAATTTTGAAGATTTAGTTAAGGACTCTGTTAACGTCAATAAATAAATAAAATATTTGCTGTCAAATTCCAGCTTAATGCATAAAAGCGCTTCTCCTGGCAATGTGATCCATACGAGTTGGTTAAAAACTCGCCCTTTTATAAAAAAAAAAAAAAAAATCTCGTACATGAGTGTGATATTTAAATTAAATATATTTACCAGTATATAATTCCGCGAGAGAAACATAGAATAACAAATCATATTAATACTATTTCGTTTTTATTCTTAAATAATTATAGTACTTACTGTTGGCATTTTATAAAATAGTATGTTTACTGTTCAGTAAAATTACAGCACACCTAAGTTTTATTTCAATTCTAAAATTTTTGTTCGTATATTTCTTTTCTAGCTATAAGAATATTGCGAATTTGATGTAATGTAACATGAACGGCTACAAAAAAAAAAAAAAAAAAAAAAAAAAAAAAAAAAAAAAAAAAAAAAAAAAAAAAAAAAAAAAAAAAAAAAAAAAAAAAAAAAAAAAAAAAAAAAAAAAAAAAAAAAAAAAAAAAAAAAAAAGAAAAGAAAGAAAGCTTTCCTGGAAAAATATGATTACAACAAGTGTAAGTCTATTTAACATTGAGTAAATGGCCCAAAATTGGCGATATGTCGCCAATCTAACGATAGTTTTGACGACTAATTTTTGTCACTAAATTTGGGGAGATATCGCCAAAAGTCCGCAAACTTAGCGACCATTTTGTGGCATTTTTGTCCGGTGCTTGTATGACTGTAATTCTTATCGTAATTGAATAGCTGTAACTGATTCCCTATATGTAACTGTAGCCGTAGCCGGCCCCTATATGGTAACTTTAAACGTATATGCCTTTCAGTAATTTTGAGAAATGGAAAGGACTGGAAATTCCTCGTCGGTCGGGGCAAACTACGTAAGACCGGCAAGAACGTGAGTTCTCAGTTTTTAGTTCAGAGTTGATTTCGGAGTCTTAAGAGATTTGTGGGCGAGTTTCGCTCTTTAGAAGCGCTTTGCATTGCTTGTGTTTAACCTTCTTAGTAGCTTGAAGTAGTAACTAGTGATTGTGCTGTGTCCTATTGAGAAGCCCAACTGCGGCCGAGTGGTGAAGTCGCTGAGCACTGGTAGCTCGGTTCGAGGCTCGAATCCCGGTGAACGATCAGGGTGCATGGATGTTTTCGTGGTTTTCCTATGGGTAACACGTGTATACTAGTCATCTACCTTTAAAAAGTCTTCCACGAAGGCATTCCTCCCCTTAGACAGCTCTTGAGTGCTCTGCCATCGTTAAATAAACTAAACCTGTCTTACTGAGAAGAGCTGTACGAGTACTTCTGTGGAAAATTGCGAAACTGTAAAGTGCTTCTTTTGGTAAAATAAATTTTATCATCCTGTCGTCGGTTCTGTATGCATTCTTCCCATTACGAACTCGTACTCACTCAACAATTATATTAATGAAAAAACATTAAAATATTTCAATAATTTTTTTTAAGTATATAGAGGATCATAATTGATGGGTTACCGCTGAGTTTCACAATTACTATTAGATTTCATTTACAGTTGTATTATACATGTGTATCTTTGCAAGAATAATACCAGATCATATCAATCGACCACGCCATATGTAGTAAAGCAAGTTATAAGTACCTTTCTTTATTGCAAAGACACGTATAAAATGCGAGTTGAAAAGCTATCAATCTGAAATTCTCAAAGCAAAGCCACAGGGCTGTAACTGCATTGATATCCGAGCTGCGTAAATAACATCCTCTTTCAACCTAACACGGATATGTTTTCAAATTCTGAGAGCTCGCGATTGCAAGAATGTAAACTTGTTGCTGTAACTATACATACTAAAGAAATCTTTACTTATTAAAAACTGTTCCTCAATCTTGTAGCATAATTTAGTTACCAGACCAATGCAAACTGCACCATGGATGGTGCTAGGCACTTTGCAGGCTGTGTGCTGGACCTGCAATGTACATCCAGATCAAATATATCATTTTTGTCAGGTAAAGAGGCTTCGAAGTCAGCCAGAGGGGGACATAGAAAGAAAAACGCTTTGAAAAGGAGTCGGTAAGCCAAGAAAGGTCGGGAAACCAAGCTGTAGAAAAAGGATTAGTTAGTTACAGTTTGTCGCTAATTTTGGCAAGTGATCCGAAGCAACTATGAGTGATCGTCTAAGAGAACTTTTTGTCACCTTTTTTGATAAAATCATCATTAGGATCTTCGATTTATTTAATAACTGCCTAATTATTTCAGTTGCTGATAAAATATCTTAAGATCGGATTACTGCTATGTTCGCTTCAAGATTGTATTCCCTCTTACCTTTCAAAAAATTGGCTTAGAACGTTATCAGTCTACTGATTTTTTCTGTTAAAACCGAAGCCTTGAGGAACAGATAACAGTTTTGTAATCTAAAATATTAAAAGGTAGGTCGAAATCCAAAACCTCATGCTTTCAAAAGAACACGGCGCGCGGCAGAATTAGTGGGGCTTGCGTCGGGCTGTCTGGCGGAGGGAGTTGGACGATAAGGGGAGAACGCGGGTCAGAGTTCATTTCGAGGTTTCATATTTCTCTTGGTGCCTCGAAGCATGTGGCTTACAGCTGTGTTGAAAATGTCAGTGGAAAAGAATGAAAGCTTCATACGTTGGGAAGAGGGGGAACTTGCAGGTTGTGTCTGGAAAAACGAAAATTTTCGGTTTGCGAATTCCTTCGGTGGGGGTGTGATCGCTCCCTCTGATGATAAGTTGTATATAGCTGTCCCACTCCGTCTTATCTTCACTTCAACAAACAGTGAAGATTTTGTTGAGGCGTCGTAAATTGTGGAGGTTGTGTCTGTGTTTATTTGCGGGGTTCAGAATTCTTCTCTCCACTTGCTACCCCAACACGAAACCTTTGCATGACCTTGTCCCAACACCGAATAACGAACATGGAATCATTGAACATTGTTCAGTTTATCGCTTTTATAAATATACTAGCGGAAGTACCCGATGCCAGTTAAGTTATATTGAGAATAATGTATCTATAGAGATACAGATAGTATTATAACAACAGAGAAAACGATACCGCTGTAATCCTTCTCTAATAACGATGAAAAAAAAAAAAAAAGTGACATTCAATAGTCATACATTTTTCAGTGTGATGCGATATGAAACCCATCACATAAAACATTTCGGTAGACAAATGAACTAATTCTCTCTCATTATATCAGCAACAATGGCACGCAGTTTTGAATGATTTCGTCTTTCTAATCAAATGGTCGTAAAAGCTCAAGTTCCTTCCAATATTTCACCTATATTCAATTTTAGTCGATTAAATGTGGCCAAAAAGTGATCAGAAATCAGTAATGTGAACATACACACAAACAGGCATTCTTCTTGATGTATATATATATATATAGAGAGAGATTAACAAATTCTACGATTTGAAAGCGAACAGTGACAACGCTTTTCGAAATTAAGCAGATTATATGTTTCTTGTATGCATTTTATCAATTAATTAATATTTATGGCAGTAGTAAGCCCCAGATTTATTATTTTTTGCATATTCTTTTTACGTTTTAGCTGTGATTTTTTTTTTTTTTTTTTTGGGTACAGTAAAAAGAAATTTGTTTTTTTATTTTATAGAATGCCGGCCCTGTAGTGATGACGAAATTTTGCAATCTTTCTGTACGAGTGATTTTGGTAAGTTGTTTTCTTTAGCCTTTATTAATCTTTTCGAGTAATTTCAAGTGTCTTTATAGAGTTTAAATATTGCGAAAGAATAAAATTATGTTAAGCGTTAAGGCCGTATCTCACGTTCAGAACGTTTTGGAAGAAAACTGTTTAGTGCAATTTTTCTGCTTTGTCACATGATAGAAAACTAAGTCATCACAGATCTCTTTCGGATTACCATGTAAAGGGGAAACTTGCTTTCCATTACAAACACGAAGGCCAGTGCAGAACTTTCATTCAAGTTCTTTTTTAGTTCGATGCTGATTGAGTGAAAACATTCAATCTGCAACTTTTTGCGAAAGGAAGGAAAAATTCGCACGTTTTTCTTGCAATACTAAAGCTGATATAAAAAATTTTGGAACATTTAATTGTTCGTCTGAAACAGGCGGATGTCTTATAGCGCTTGTAGTTTACAGACCAGTTTGTCTTGTAATTTATTTGATGTTAGAAACACCTGTAGCTTTGTCTTTCAATTGACAGAAGTGCAGCTATTCAACACAGTATAGGATCTTTAATTTGCCTTTCTAAATTAAAATCATGCATTGTTTGACGAACAACGTCATAAAAGCAGAATACATACAGTACAAGACGGTTGTGAGAAAATGTTGAAATGGATTCCAAATGTTTTTCTATCGGGTCAGTCCACAAGTTCGTGTGCATTAAGAGTAAGCGTGGAATTCACTATGACGCATTTACTAAAGCAGTAGAGTTTTGAACCTGTTGAAATTTGTCATCGTTTGACTAACATATTATTCATTTCATCACTAACTTTCGTAAGTATCGAACGCGTGTTAGTATGACTGCCCAGAAATGGTTTAAAAATTTTAAAGTTGGAAAAAGCAGCATTGATGGTGAACCCCGTTCAAGACGTTTTAAACTGTTACAACCAAATCAAACGATTCATTCATAAGTTTATAGTGAACAACTTTGCCGTCTAAACTCGGAATTGATCAAAAAACGGCCACGATTGGTGAATATCAAGAAAGTGTTGTTTTATCATGATCGCATACGGCTCGAACAACATACGCTAGACCGCATACGGCTCCGACAATGCAAAAATTAATGAATTTAATTGGGAGCTTTTGCCACATCCTGCTTACTTCCCAGATATTGCCCCAAGTGAATTTCACTTATTTCGTGCCTTCCAAATTTTTTTACTCGGAAAAAAAATTAAATTCTAAACAGGATGTACGCAATGAACTTTCAGTTTTTTTTTTTTTTTGCATTAAAACCAGAGCCTTTCTACAGCAATGGCACAAAAAAGCTGCCTGCAAGATGGCGAGACATTGTAGATAATGAAGGAAAATATATAATTGATTAAAATGTTAAATTGTGTTTTTTTATATTATTTAAAAATTTACGAAAAAACTGCGCACGAATTTATGAACTGAATAATTCGCTAGGCCTTTTTTATTTTTGTATAATATCTCCAATTGTTGCACTTTGTAATACATATAATTCGTGTGATTTCTAATGTACGTAACTTATAATTTCTTTAAAACTTTTTTATCGATATTGTAGTTGATGTAACATGTTTGCTAACGGTGCATAAATTATTTAATAAGAAATATTTCCAGAGACATGTAAGATTACTTCCAGTTTCTCAGCTTTTTGCATCTTAATAAAAGACAAAAAAATCACGATTTGGTATTTACGTTGGTGAAAGGGTTCTATATTTCAGCAGGAACAAATCGTGTGTGTCTTTATAGAAGCAAATTATTCTGTCCTGGCACTTGGTTTAAATGACACGGACGAACATTTGTCGACAATTATTGAGCAAAACAGAATTAGATGAAAAGTTTAAGATAAATTTGTGATTTGGATAAACACTCTTTTTAAAAGTACTGTAACTGGATTTATCGCTAAATGAATTTGCCTTTGCTTAAGAATTTACTCATAAACTGTGAATGTATTTAAAGACCTTATAAGGAAAATGTAAATAATGTCTTCTTTGGTGCAGTGTACAGATGAAGAATGTGCAGGGTGGTCATAAAAAATTTTCCCTATGTATGAACTCATAGCGGCCTATCCGCTTAATCAGTCGAAATGAAATTTCAGGTATTGTTATTTGAAAGCATTATGATAATTTAAAGCGCTCACGATTTAGGTTACAGTGAGAAAAAAATCGAAATTTTCGAATGGCAGCATCCGCTTTTTTCCTGAGCAAATTGATCAGCGCAATGAAAAACCATAAATGACGTTAGAACGGTACATGTACGAAAATTGCCGACTGAAAACATTTGCAAAGAAGAGCATTGTAAACGACTAGTGCCAGCACAAGAGAGGAGAGGAAATTTATTGGAATTACAGTTTTTTACCTCTTTACCTCTTTATGTTTCCGAAGTTTTTTCTTTGGGACTTTATTCGGAGTCCTGATTTTGATGCGATCGCGTCTTTTAGACCCAGCGCGCCTATTCGTCTTACTTTCTCATGGTTGATTTGTGATAGTATAGAAAGCGGCAAAAATGTCACGTTATTTATTACACAACGAAGAAATATTGCAGAAATTATCAGAGGTATCAACTGGCGAAGAATGTATTGAAGAAAATGAGGATGGAAGTGATCGTGAATTTTTAATTCACATGATTCTGATTCAGACAGTGATACATGTTCTGAAAACGAATGTAAGAAAGACATAAATTTTTTTGAGGGAAAAAATTGCCGGAAGTAAAAAAAAAGTATATAAAAAATGCATTGTTTGTCCAGGAGGCGGAGGGGAAACCCGAAAAACGTGTTTCTCCGAATGTGAAAAATATTTGTATTTGGAACACGAAAACACTTTCTTCAATATGCTGCTCACATTTATTGTTGCATTTTCATCTCTGTCTATAGTGCTAATAAAGTAAATAAGAATCGACAAAGAGTAAAGAATATCGACGATACAGTACTTTTTTTTCCCTGGGCTAATAAATAATTAGATTTTTTATTCTTTTAAGAAATTTTTTTCATAAAAGCATTTGGAGAAATTAAAAATTTTAACTTGCATATTTTTTAAAAAATTTATCATAAAATTTATTATTGACATAAATGTCACATTGTTTCTGAATATTCGCAACATTTTCTTCAAAAAACAAGAACTGGGCCTTTTGGACTCAGTGCGCGCGCTCGTGGATTAAGCTCTGTCAGTCATAGTACCTATTTCCGTAAATGTTACCTCAAGAAATTCAACTAATTTTTTTCTTCATATGCACTGTGCATCTAAAAGCTTTTAGGACTGAATTTATAAAAAGTCAAGATATGAAGAAAAGTTCTTACATACGTTCTTTCTAGTACAATTTATATCGCTTTCCTTCCGATATTATATATTGCGATACTATATATGTTTAGCTGCTACATACATTCCTTTCGATACTATATATCGCTTTTATATTCACGGAGCTTCCCCGATTGCTTCACAGAAGAAAAACACTTGGAACTAATTTGGTCCTATTTGTCATAGTTTCTGGATTTCTGAAATGGTCTTAAAATGGTGCAAATTTTGTTTTAAGCAATAGAGAGCAGTTTGTGATATTTTCGTTTGCAGTCAGTGGTTTTTTTATGCAAAGAGAACTGCGTTACCTTCCTATAATCACTCACTATCTCTGTAACGGGTAGATATTGGCAGCATAAAATCAACCAGCTGATAGCGTTATTATTTTTTTTAATAAATTTACTGTATACAAACAGTTCATATTTCAATAGATTTGTTACTAGTTAGTTTGCTAGTTACTTTGTTTCAGTAGCTGAGATTTGTTACTAACCATATCCACAGGGTTGTTAATTTGCAGTTTCACTGGGGCTGATGAAAAAAGAATTGTTTTCAAAAACCTTTTTAGGAGCGCTGTATCATTCTGGACGATTAATGAGAAATGAACATCTTGGAATATGTTTTTCACATAATGGATTTAAATCTTTTGCTCGAAAAGATTTGGTAGCTAGAAGCTATGTGCAGCCACCTCATATTTCTAAATAAATTTTATTAAATGATCACAAAGACTGCATGGACTAAGACTTTAGTTTTCTGCATTTTTTTTTTAATTATTTATTTCCAATGGCTATGCAGAAAGTCACAAAGAACTAAAATCTTATGAAAAGAAGTTAATAACAATAGATCTATGAACAAAATGATCGAAGTCATTGCTTAAGGAGCGTTCTTACCTCCCAGTACCTCGACTCTTCTGTAAGACCACTAAGAGCCCCACATCGAAACAGGTGGTCCCTGTCCATTTCTTCTCTAGAATTACAAAAAGTGGGCAAATAGGATCGCTTGAAATGACTATACAGTGCAGTTGGGCGGCAAGGCAATCATGTCCTATAGACAGACGGAAAGCTGCAACTGCATTGCGTCTTGGACTGTCGGGAGTAAGAGAAGGACTTATCATTTTCCAACTTTTTAAGGCTGTACGAGTCTGAGGATCTCGTAAGATGTAAATAATTTTTTTTAAGAACAGTTTAATCCTCCTATAAAAAATGGCTGTATTAGGATGTTCTAGTAAGCTGGCACCTCTTTTTGCAAGGAAGTTCGCTTGTTCATTGCCCCCAAAGGCCACATTGACCAGGCACCCACTGGAGAACGATTTGTTTCCTTTAAAATGAGAGCTCTCAGGAATTCTTGACATTGCAAAATTTCAGGTGTTAATTGGATGTTCAGCAGAGCTAAGTGATGTTTTCTACTATTATGAATTTCTGATTTTCTGCCTCCCTCCCAGTTGAATTGTAGTAACCTAGTAATATCAATACGTAGATAAGAATAACTATTCCTAACGATATTCTTATTACCTTTAACAGCTTAATATGACTGAATTTTATGTAATGTTTTCATTGCAGAGCAGATTTATTTTAATAGTATTGTATCTTATTTATACATTTATATTTGCAGTTATACAAGGTACAGTGTCGGCTCTTCATCACAATCCTGAAGCACAGACATCCGAATTGAATATTCGTGCTAGTGCTATCATAAGAAACAACCCACACAAGTCATGGTCCAATGCCAAATATGTGACTTTATACAGACCGCTGAAATGCGGAACGAAAGCTGGAATGGGAGAATTTCTGTTCCTCGGTAGATGGCGCTTAGGACAGCCTGTCATTCACTGTGCGCCGAGACTGTCTCATTGGAAAGAAATTCGAAGGAAAGCCATCTCTGAGGGAACTTCTCAGTGCCATCTTCCATTAAAATAACAGTATTCTCACATACCGAACGTTGGTAACATTAAAATCCATTTCCGCCAAAATCGTCAGTTCATTTTCGAATTCAAAACAGACATGTATGGCAACGTACACAGTACAGCAGAATAAACTTTGTTTTGAATGCTATAAAAACTGCGAACTATAGTGTGTATATTTGTAAGCTTAAAAGAAGAAGAAAAAACCCTTCTGTGATAAAATTAAATGTATTTAAATTTTAATTTGTGAAGATGAGATGAAGGGGCAGATACTTTTCTGTGTTAGTTACGCGTTTGCAATACAGTTTTTCTTTAATAATCATTCTAAATAGAGTTGTATATTTTTTATTGATATAAATATACATGAAGTTTTTGTAAAAAAAAATTAGTGCAATTCTTTTTTGTACTGTTTGATAATGTGTCAAAAAGTAATACCTATTTGTTTTCTTTTATTTCATTTGTTTTTAGATAAAAATTTGAATTGCTTTAATAAATATTGTGTATTCTAATTTTCATTTAAAATTTCATGTACTATTATTTGAAGTACAAAAACTAGAAAAAAAGTCAATAAAATACTTGAATAACTGAAATTTTAGCCAAAACATTTATGGCATTTTTTTTCTTAAATGTGATAACATCAGTGTTGTTATGTAAATGTTCATATATCTGTGTGCTCGTTATTTAAACTGGAAATTTTCAAAATGGCACTAGAAGTATTTCCCAAAAAATGTTAATTTCTTATTTGATATAAACTTTCATAAAAACATTAAAATTCATTACATTACTTCTTTAATATTATGTACTTGTTTTAGAAAAATATATATACAAACAAGGCATTTTGTTAAATTCTGCATTATTTCTAAAATACTTTTGTCTAAAAGAAGAAAAATGTTTTAAAATGTTTACTATGACTGAACTATTCAGCTGTTGGTTTTATAGTTAAGTCAATATTTCTTTAATTAATGTTTAGCTTTCTGATAATAGCAAGAAGAAAAACATCCATTTTTGTGTATATAATGTACAAAATAATTGTAAATAAATTTTAAATATTGTTGAAAATTCTTTGTGTAAATTTATTTCTTAATAGACATGAAAATAGACCTCCTTGGATGTATGCAATAGAATATAAAAGAATGTATTTTGTCTCGAATTTTTTTTTTTTTTTTTTCTTCCTCATGGACAGCTTTTTTTCAAATATTTATTTAAATTTTACTAAACAGGAATTCAAGCTACCTAAATAAGTTGATATTTATAAACAGAACTGATCTGTATAATTTAAAATGATAAAAATATTTAAAGTTGCAAAAACAAGAATAAGTTTTTACACAAGCTTTTATTTCTATAATCACAATGTGAATTCTGTCATAGCACTGTGTTTTAAAGAAGAATGTTCTGCATGGGGAAATCATATTGTTGCATTTGTATGGGCTCTTGAATGCACATAAAACCGATGATAGCTTGATCAAATTTATTTTACCAAAAGAAACACTTTACAGATCTGGAACTTTCCACAAAAATACTCGCACAGCTCTTCTCACTATCACAGAACACAATCAGTACAAACTTCATCACTTCAAACTACTAAGTAATGAAAAGCGCATTTAAAGAGCAAAGCTCAGACGGAGATATCTCAATCTCCGAAGTCGACTCTGAACTGAAAAACTGAGATCAGATACTGTTGAAGTTATACAGGGACGGACCGAAATGTGGCGACAAAAATTAGTAAACAAAGCCACAGACAGCTTGGCGATATCTCGTCAATTTAGCGACATAGCCATTTACCTCCATGTTAAATAAACTTGCCCCTGTAATTTTATTTTCCGAAGAGCTTCGTCTGTTTCAAGCATTTCATGTTACCTTATACAAAAAATGTTACGATTTCACATACACTACCCGACATGAAAATGCAACAACAAGGAGTGGCCAGAAACTGATGAAACTCGGCAAACAGAGAGAGACGGCAATGAACACTAAGTCATTTTTATTTTGAAATATGTATAATACAGAGCGTGAACAGCGTCGACTCAGTAGTTTATAGGACTACCTAGGAAAGCAACAGTTCTAGGTACAGAGTTAATGAGACTACGGATGGCGTCCAATCACATCCCAAATGTGTTCGATTGGTTAGAGATCAGGAGAGACCGGTGGCCAGGGAAGCATCTGCACACCTTGCAGAGCACGTTGGTTAATACGAGCACTGTGTGGTCGGGCTTTATCCTGCTGATAAAGGGCATTGGGTACTCCCTAAATGTAGGGAAGTGTCACCGGCTGCAGCACTGCCCTGAATACGAACTAGAGGTGACCTGGAATAGTACGCAGTTGCGCACCAAACCGTGATGTCCAGGGCCGTTCCTAGGCCATTGGCTGCCTGCGTACTTTCCTAAGAATGCCGCTCCCAAATGTAAAAAAAAATTGCTCAATGATTAATAAAATTTTTATTTGATACCCGCTAAGTACTTACAATGAATTTTAAATATTTAGGCGTGGTATCGCGAGAGTCCGGCTGCCCCTGATTTTGGCCACCTGCTTACTTTTACGCACTGCACACCCTCTAGGAACGGCCCTGATGACATCACGTCCCACAGTTGCTGCCGGATCGGACCTGTCTCCATATCGACGCCACACTCGTACGCAGCGACTCATCTGAGAACAAGACCGTGTACCTTTCCGTCGCTCACATCGCTCGAGCCCGGAGCCATTGCAGACGTTGGCGTCTATGGTGTGGAGTCGATGGTAGTCTTCTTAACGGACGAGTGCAGGCCTCCAGCCACCAATCGATGGCAAGTGGTTCCGGTTGATATGGGAACATCCAGGTTGTCTTGAACGGATGCAGAAGTGGCTTGCGAGTGCGCCACCGCTTGTCGGCGGATGTGTCGATCCACGCATGATGACCTCACTCTGGCTGCACCGGCACCCCTCGAACTTGCCACATTTCCTTGTTCCAACCATCGTCGCCACAACCGGTGCACTGTCGACGCGTCTAGGTGTGTCTCAGCTGAGATTTACCGTATGGACCAACCTGCCCTTCACAGTCCGATCACCATGCTTCTCGTAAAATCGTCTGTTTGCTGGAATTGCTTCCGTTGACGACAGTCTGACATTCTCTGCTATTACATGCGTCCTCTGAGACAAGAACAATTTTTTCTACTAAGATTTCCGTAGCAGCGATAATGGCACGAAAATTAACATTCTTGCAGGTTCCTTTTTCTTATACCTTCTTCAACGTGCGCTGGAGAGCTGCGCATTTCACATCATTCGCATAACTCGGTGACGTACGTCTACCATGAAATTTGCATAATTTTCGGGCCACTCCTTCTTGGTGTTGCATTTTCAATGTCGGGTAGTGCATAAACTGTAAAAATGATTCACATATATACAAAATTTGTAACAATATTTTTGTCGATGATACCCGTTACATTGTGCAGTCATGTGATGTCCACATCTGATTTTTATTTATATCTTCACCTTACGATTTTATCTGCTTTACCTTCCTACACTTCAGGTTATTGAGGACTATGGTGTAATTATATTCCTCTTATTAATAAAATAATTAACATCAAAGCTAAATCAATTTACTCGATTAATCCCATATTTATAAATGTATAAATGACATTCACGAGCATATAATTAAAAATCCAATAATACTTATGCCAAAGAAAATGAAAGGAATCATTACATAACAGCACATGCATAAAACTGCCAATACAGAAATCTCTAATATACATTATTAATAGAATCCATATGAATACATATTTCAAGAAAATTAAAAACCTAAATAACATAACTTAAGCAAAAGACTCACCAAAAGGCATTAAGAGATTATAAATCTTGCAAAATCGTATCTATTGGAAAAAGTACACAATATGTACACAGCTAATAATGGGAGAAATGGCATTCTTTATATCATGTATGGTTAAAAACTCGATAATGGGAGAAATGGCATTCTTTATATCATGTATGGTTAAAAACTCGATCTCAAAGTAACATTCAATGGATCGCCGCAGTCGAGGAGTATTTATATACATACATTATACCATAATATGGAAAAACAGCTTCGATTTCAAACACAAATAATTCGTTCACTTCTGCTGCAGTTACCTTAGGTACATAATCATCGAGTGCTTTACCATAATCGAATAAACCAAACCAACCAATTACGTAAAAATTAAATAACAAAATGGAATAAAAGTCACGTATATGAAATTTCATGAATGCTTTAAAAATGTAAACTATTTAAATATTTCCATACCTTTGAGATATATCATTCATCCTCTCCCTGATATCTTATATTAGTGTTATCTAAATGTTCTGATGTAACAGATGGAAAATAATCCAGTGTTTTTAGGAATCAGACATTAAAGCTGAGCTTGCAAATTCATTTTATTATCTTTGCATGGTTGGATAAAATCTTAAAATAACTTTGCTGATGAGTGAAATCTGATGCATGTGTAAGATCGCGCGATTGATATTTTTTTCTTATTTTGCACTTTTGATACAATTTGGCATGAAAAATTAGACGCAATGTTTCATATTTTTAAAAAGGGAGATATTTGTTAGATGCCTTAACTGAAAATGTCAGATTCCTCTGCCGTTCAGACTGTGGGTTATCTGAGCTAACGAAAACAACAGACTTAGTCGACCCATCTCTAAAACCAGATTTTCACCAGAGAGTTTAAAAATCTGAACTGCACGCATAGCGGAGCTAGTTAACACATGGAACTGATTCCATTAGCTAAACCCTAGTCTGAACGGCCGTTTAGGGGCAGTTAGATGTCGCTTCTCGTGCAGTTGGTTTCATGGGGGGAGATATTTGATTCGAGTAGCGGGTAATTTTGGTCTATGACCCAGTGGATAAGACCTGAATATCGATAATTCTGTCCAAGTTCGTACCTCGTCAAACAGATTGTCTAAGTGGGTTTGCGTGGTTTCTTCACGCGTAACGTGAGTACGAACCAGTTTTCCTTAGAAAATCCTTTCCCAGAATCTTGTGATTTTCCTTAATCAATTAACTTTACCTAACTGATCTGTTTTCATCCATGTAGTTGGACAGCACCAATAGATATTAAATATTGCAAGCATGAATTATTGGCTCATTTAAGATCATATGAAGCGTTAGAACAAAAAACATACCACTTACGGTTTAATTTTAATATCAGAACTGAACGTTTGCCTTCAGTTTTACTATTTTTATTGTGCGTGCTGCTCAATTGCGAATAGAAATATTACTACTTGCTGTTGGATTAAGCAATTTTTGAAAGTCTGTGTCTGACTTCATTGCGGATCATCAAAAAGACGTCCGTTATACTAAAACACATGAGACATTTTAACTGTAATGATAATGAAACATAGTTTCTAGAAATTAAGCTAGCTTTTTAGTTCTAGCTCATAGTTAATCTTTTACTTTGGCATGTTTCTCTTTTCTTGACTACAG